TAAGTAGGAATGAAGTGAAGAAACAGTCCAAAACTGAAATTACTATACGGAAGTGTCTGGTTGTCCGACTGACGTAATTTCAACTACAATTTCAAAGTCATTCTGATATGTTCATAAGATGAACACTAATGGTAGATTTCGGAAGAAAAACAACTACTTGACTGTCTAATGCAACGCAGAACATTGAATTACATCCTCCCGAAATGTATGCATCGACTCGTATAAACGAATACTGATACAAGTGATTATTTCCTGAATGCCTATCGATCTCGATTCAGCCAGGCCACGCTTGACACCCACAGACCGGTTTCGAGCTCTTCGACTCTCATTAGTTCAGGGCAGTCTCTAGTCAGTAGTCCTAAGACCGCCGACTGAGCGTAGCCTAGCCAAACAAAAATCAAGTCGGCATTATATTCCCTCAGAGGTGTCCTCCATATACAATATGAGAGCAACACCATCTGAATGCCTATTGATTTCGATTTAGCCAGGCCACGCTAGACACCTACAGACCGGTTTCGAGCTCTTTGACTCTCATCAGTATCCGTTTATACGTGTCGATGCATAGATTTCGGGAGGATGTAATTCAACGTTCTGCGTGGTATTAACCAGGAATGTAGTTGTTTTTCTCCCAAAATCTACCATTGTTGTCCATTTCATGAACATTGTGTGGAAATAATGACATTGAGCTTTTTCTATTTATTCCAAATCTCATTCCATTTTGAGCACTGTATTCATAATTATTAACTCAAACCTCCATCGAGTTATTCTATAAAAATAAGTCGATTAAGTCGAATATTCAAATTGATTTCTGAATCGAATTTCGGATGGCTAGATTCAATTTCATACATATTTTATTAGTGGACATGATTATATGAATAGTTTAACAAACATTATCAATTTTTTAGGGTCCACAACAGCCTAGACAGCTTCGTGTCAAATTCAGTACCAATGTATATGAGGAATGTCTAAGGCATTGTATAATGTAGTATCACCGCAAGTTCACTGCTGAAAAAACATAATTCACTTACTTATAAGCTTGATGAATATACTTCTAACACCAGTTTTGAACGTTTTAATTTTTGTTTTCTATATGGCGCAACAGCTTTGTAATGGGGGAGACCACTGATTTTTTAAAATGACATTATCGTGAACTATATACTGAAAAACTACCGGCGAATTAATTTTGAATTTTGTCATTCATGCTAAGACGATGGAAAAAATAAATTAGAATATGTCCATTTCAAAACACACAATTCCTGCGCCATTTGAAATTTTGTCAATTCATTGGTGTGACTGGTGCGACGTCTTATTCCCAACACGCCTATTGTCCTTGAACTGACCAATCACACTGCAACACTGCAGAATGACGAGGTATCCGAGAGAGGTAGCTACAGTTCGGCACTAATACGTCACGACTCCACCATCATATTTGGCTGTTTGAAATATCGAATGAAATATGCTGATTTCAAAACGATATAGATTCGATTCCCTTCAACTTCAACTCATAATATTGATTGTACATCAAACGTAAATCATGATTCGTCGATTGAAAGAGGTTTGCACGGATTTCTTCTCTCAGTGGTCTTCCCCATTGCTTTCGGAGTCGATAATATGATTTGTTCCTCGAAATTAGGAAATTCAAGATGGCGAAACTAATACGGCGGACGAATTTTGTGATCATTATGATCTGATTCTATTCGGAATTGGTATCTGGTGGTTTTCTGGGTCGGAGATCATGATTCCCTCATCAAAATTTGGAATTTCAAGATAACGGATCCAATATGGCGGACATGTTTTGTTATTAGGATCCGATTATATTTCAAATTGATACCTGGAGGTTTTCCTAGGAAATTCTTATTATTCCATCAAAATTTGGAAATTCAAAATGGCGACACCAATATATGGCGGACGAGTTTGGATATCATGATCCGATTATATTTAACATTGGTATCAAGGGGTTTCCGGGTTCTGAGATAATGATTCATTCGCCCGGAGATCATGATTGCTTCGTTAAAATCAATAAATTCAAGATGGCGGATATGGCAGACGAGTATTGTGAGTATAATTCGGCTCAATTCGAAATTGATATCTGAGGATTTCCGTGGTCGCAGATTATATATACAGTCTGTCCAAGATAAGGTTGAACAGCATGGGGATCTCGGAAACGGTAGGAGATATAAAGTCGTTTAAATGGAAAAAAAGTTGCGCATTCGGAGGCTCATATCAAGAGCCTTCGAAAATTTTGAAAATTATTTTTAGTTTTTGAGTTATTTGGAAAAAAGTGAATTTTTCGAATATCTATTTTTTTTCTCCGTTATTATTAGAGATACAGCAAAACTAAGAATACTTCTTCATAGCAACTTTTGATGACGTTCAACGTGGTGATACCGATTTTTTTATGCGACGTTTCGTATTGGTGGAACCATCATCAACTTTTGTTTTTTGAATGTGGTCCTGATAATTTTTGCACAGATTCTGAAAGGTTTTCTTATTTTAAATTCAACCATGTATTATACAAGGTGGTTTATGTGTGTTTCGACCTACTTGTAGCCATCATCGCCATCAATTCCACTCATTTTCAAGGAAAATTAGTCAACACACTGATACCTCATCAACTGGTTCCAATCAACAACCCATTTCATTTTGCGGAAACAAAAATTCCATCCCTACAAATTCAGAATATGTCAAGCGCAAAAACCAGGCGATGACGAAAGGCGCAGGACATTCTGTGAGTGGTATACCAGGAAATGTCAAAATTTTGCAGATTTCCCTCGAACAATCATCTGGACTGATGAAATCATGGTCACTAATCATGGTATCTTCGATAGAAAAAATACACATTATTGTTCACGAGAAAATGAACATTTATACATTACAGCGAGATACCAACACCGTTTCGGCTTCAATATGTGGGTTGCAATATTTATTTTGGTACACGAATTATTGGTCCTTCTATTTACTATGAAACACAGACTTCCGAACGATATAGAAATTTGCTTGAGAATCATCCTGAGGAAGCTCTGGATTATTTACCGATTGCGGAAGTTCAGAACTATTGGTTTCAACAAGATGGCGCTCCGGTACATAATTCCAGAGAAGTCCGTGCGTTTTTATCCAGAAAAATGGATTGGTACTCATTCTACAGTTCCTTGGCCGGCAGATAACTTTGATGAAGAAGAAGAACTAAGGGACAGTGTCTTCGAAGCATTCAATAGAATAACCCCAGAAATGCTTAGCAATGTCTTAGAAGCAACTGTGAGAAGAGGATATTATCTTTGTTCAGGAAATGATGGTTATCATTTTGAACATTTGGTATGAATGTTTCTGTAGGTATTGTCAATGTCAAGTTGTTAAAGTAATTCGTGTAGGAATTCATCAACAATTTTAAGCGCTGCATTGATCGAATGATGTAGTGAAACATTTTTTATTCACTTTTCAGTAGGTATTGAATAACTAATACATCAAGTTTGACATCAAATGACCAGAACTAAGTGGAACTGATGGCTTTTTTTTCTTTGGAAGTTCTAAAAAACATTGATGATGGATAGAAATAGGTTGAAACACATTCGAATCACTTTGTATAATACATGGTTGAATTCAGAATAAACAAACCTTTCAGAAACTGTAAAAAAATTATCAGGACCGTATTCAAAAAACAAAAATTGATGATGGTTCTACGGATACGAAACGTCGCATAAAAAAATTGGTATCACCAAGTTGAACGTCATCAAAAGTTGCTATGGAAATATATTTCCAGTTTTTCTGTATCTCCAATAATAACGGAGAAAAAAAATAAAATAGATATTCCAAAAATTCACTATTCTCGATATAACTCAAAAATGAAAAATAATTTTTGAAATTTCCGAAGGCACTTGATATGAGCCTCCGAATGCGCAACTTTTTCCCCATTTAAACGACTTCGTATCTCCTACCGTTTCCGAGATCCCCATGCTGTTCAACCTTATCTTGGACAGACTGTATATATATTCTTTTGTCAAAATGTGTATATATTGGTCACAAAGTACAAACACGTGTTTTTATGCAGGCTTGTATATTCTCCTTTTTGCTTCCAATATAAATTCTCGAATTAATAATGAGAAACAAAATAATGTTATTCATATTAGATTCAATATCATTAGGTAAAAATACAAATCTTTACAAACCTAAAATAATTGAAGAATAATGAGATAAAATTCACAAAAACTTCCTCCGTACTTATTTTATACAGTTGAGTGATAGGCTAATAGGTAAAGTTAGATAGTTAGATATAGATAGATAGATGAATATATAGATAAATAGATAGATAGATATAGATTAAGATAAATGTATTTCTCATTGCCATTGATGTGAATTTTTATTATTTTACATGTCAAAGTGAGTTCCTGTGAACATTTGGAATATCTGACAGATTATTATAAGTAATTAGGTAGGCATATACCTACACACGAATTAATATACATCACTGCATACATCATAGATAGGTGGATACATTTTAATTGATATTGAAAAAGGGAGAAAGATGAAATACAATTGCCCTCACTCTCTAGTTTCCTTCAGAGTCCCCTGTATATGCGAAAATAATTCCCAGTTATGGTCGACCTTGTTGTCTTATTTACATCCGTTCTTGATTTATGTTTCTAGCTATCACAGAACTCGAGCAAACGAGCTCTGACGCACTATATTGACTCCCCATTTTTGAATTATTAAAATATTGACGAATAATCGCAGATTAACCTACAATCAGATATCACAATATGAACAATTCACTGAATATATTATAATATCGACATATCAAACAGGAGATGGTATGATGTGTCGATACCCGCCTTAGTGAAGGATGCGAATATTTTTTTCCTTCACAATATTGGAGGTTTTTGGGTTTACGACTATAGTAGTCCAAATAGGAATGAAAAGAGAGCCCTGAATCTTCAAAGGAAGATATGTGTCCCTAAGTTATTGATATCATAATTTATCAATTATTAATTGATGCAATTTTCCACCAAAATGAGCGACTGTCAAAGCATCCTCAAGTACACAAGGTACGCCTTGCTAATAGCTGGAGCATTCGATATACAGGACGGAACGACGAACTCATCCTTTCCATACAAGATTTGGTCTTTTCTTTCACAAGGCTACTACACGTTGTTCGTCCTGTCGCTCCTCGTGGGCATGAAAGATGTACTAAAGAATGGGGTAGATGACGTAACATTCAATATAAACATGCAAACGTTCCTCTTCAGCTTCCTTTTACTATTGAAATTGGTGTTATTCTACACCAGAGGCATTCGGGATATAATCAAAGAAGTGTACGAGTTTGAGTACGACATCACACACGATGACTTGGAGTGTACGCGAATATACAACAAAAATTCCTGATACAACTACAAGATATTTTTCTTAGTGTCTCTTATCATGTTCTGTACTGGCTTTATGTTCATGATCACCAACTTGAACGAGTGGAAGCTGATGAACGTTGGAAACTCAACGGAAAGCAAGTCGCTCATCTACAGTGGTTGGTTTCCATTCGATATTATGGATCCAACTTATTTCAACGCTGCGTACTTTTTTCAATACATCGTAGGTATTTGGTTACCCTGGTTCATAATTATGATTGATTCCCTGTTCATTTCGATGGTAAATTTCGCTACTGCAAGGGTTGACATCTTGGGATACAAGTTTGAAAATTTTGAGATGTACAGTAATGGTAGGAATGAATCAACATTCCATTGTCTGAGAAATATTGTGATGGAACATCAGGAGCTTATCAGGTGAGTGACTATCGATAGGTATATACCTCAGGGTCTTCAACTTTGAGCAGCAACTTTTTGTTTTTGTTGACAGTGTGTCTAGTTTTAGATGTTTTTGCGTGACCCTAATAACACAAGCCATCCAATGGATGTTCATGTTAGGTCCAAGAAAGTTTGGGGTGTCCATGGACAAAAAATGTACATCCATTGGATGAACCAAAATGCCTATCCAATGGAATACCACCGACACTATTCCAAAGGAAATCCAAAAAAGTTCCGGATATTCATGAACATGAATTGTACATCCATTGGATGAACATTAGTTATTTATTATACAAGGGAAAAAAGTAGTAGATTTTAGCTCCAGGTTGTGTTGTGACAACAAACCGTGAGCTGAAATCTAATATTTTTCCCGTGTATAATACACTATTTTTTTCTGTGACAGAAGAAAGGACGAATCAATATTGAGAGATATTACATTATTTCGAAATCAGAAAATTATCGACGTGAAATTTTAAGTTTTCAACAGTAGGGACACCGCGTTGTAGGCATCTTTATTATTCATTTGAAGTAATCAAATATCTGATATCACTTCTGTCAGTCTAATTCTGTGATTTGATTTCAAGAAATTGCGAATTCAGTGGTTATTTAGTATTATACGTAACCGCGAAGTCGAATGGAAGATAAAAGGACTTGCAGTTCTTTCTCGGAGACGGTATTATTGACTCATTTCTCGAAACTATAGCACAACAAAAGCCATCAACAGTGTATATATATGTGATATATATCCGGGAAAAAAGTTCTCACTTTTTGCCCACGGGAAAAAAGTAATTTATGAAAAGTGACATTTTATAACCTGCCAACAGGGATGAAATGCCAAACTTTTTTCCCGTCACAGAAAAAAAATAATTATCATCCAACCCAGCGAGCACAAAAACATCTCAGAGATGTTAAAAGTACGAGATTTCGAGACATTGAACCTCCACTGCGATGTTCTGTTCACACATGAATAGAACTATCATAGAACAGACAATGTCCGCCGCAGGCGGCAATTATCGAGATGGCCTTGATATGTCACAAAACTACCTTCTCCCTAGTTCTTTTTGAAGCCTTTTCATGGACACAACAAGACATTTTCAACGCATCTTGCGCACATTAAATCGCTGTAAAAAACCATTTTCGAGGTACTTTTCTGAAGCCTTTTGTCAAATTGAACTTTTGCATTAGGATTCCATTTTCCTTGAATGAAAAAATGCATTAAAAATAGATTGAACATAAAAATTTTTTCTTGATATGAAATTACCTTCTTAATCGGTTTCTGAGTATTGCTTACTACACACAGACATATAATTGGAAATAGGTTTCCCAATTTTTGAAATGTTCTCCACAATGCATAGTTTTGCAACTGCGGAGAAGCTGTGTATTGATAAATTCGTACTTTTATATATTGATTACACTGAGGCACCGAACAACACATCTTGCATCTGATGGTCATTATTACAAACTAAATCAGTCTTCTAACACAATAAACTTCACCAAATTCCTTTCTGTTCGTTAGCAGCGTGATGTAAGAGTGACACGCTGCAAACGCGAATGCCAATTGCGAACAAGAAGAACAAAATCGAAAACAAACCAGAATTCATCGTATTGTGACGTAAGCATGAGATGTTGTGGTGGGGCAAACAAAGAAAGGGCACAACAGAACAAAAACAATACTTTCAATATCCTTCTAAGACCTCTTTGGGAAGTGCATATTACGCCTCAAAAAAACATCCTCATGCCTACATTTCTAAAACATCCCAAAACATCCCAGGGATACCTTTCAGTAGGCAAACAAAGAAATGCCACAGAAGAACAGAAACAATACTTCAATATCCTTCAAAGACCTCTTTGGTCAGTGCATATATTACGTCTTAAAATAACATCTTCATGCCAACATTTTCAAAACATCCCAAAACATTCGAGGGATATGTGTGTGAACGCTGGGAATGGATTACTAGTGACACCTTTTCAATAGATATCCATAATGTATCTAGTGGCCTGAAAAAATGTAAATGCCATCGCTATCTTTGTTTCATGTTCTCTATTTTCTGTTCGTCATGTATTCCGTCCCTCGAGTCGTTGGTGTTTGCTGTTATTGTATGCAGAAGTTTGTATCGTTTGAGGCAGATTCATGCAGCAATATACAGGGTGGTCCGTTTTTTAATACGGAAAATTCAACAGCGTATATAGTACTCGTTGAAATAATAAAAAAGCTTCCAATGAACATATACTTTCAAACGCTTCGTTTTTGAGATATTGGGTGACAAAAATACGCTTCTGGATATATTTTTTGATCAAAAGTTAGAAACGGTAGAAGAATCAACGAAATTTATCACAAATACTAAATTTTTTGAGCTTTATCAGATTAAATAAAAATTATTCATTAAAACTATTCAGTGGCGGCTGAATCTGGGGTGGCGAAGGTAATAATTACACAAATTTTTCGGGTAATTATTTTTCATTTGAATTTAAATTATCCATATCGTTGGATTGGTCGTTCAGGACCAGTTACTTGGCCACCTAGGTCACCAGACTTTAATCCTTTGGATTTTTATGTCTGGGGAGCAATTTAAGATGAGGTTCATGAAGTTCAAGAAAACAATTAGTTGAAAGAATCAATGAAGCTTTCAATCGAATGAAATTAAACCCAATACAAATTTCTAGTGCAGTTAGTTCTATGATAAGACGTTGCAGAAAATGCATAGAGGTTGGCGGACAGCAATTTGAGCAATTCCTCTAATGGATTCCTTTGTTTTTCATTGATATTCACCTAATTTTATTCCTCAAAAGTTTTATTGTTGAACCATAATTTTTTCCTTCGCCACCCCAGATTCAGCCGCCACTGAATATTTTTCATGAATAATTTTTATTTAATCTAATAAAGCTCAAAAAGTTTAGTATCTTTGAAAAATTTCGTTGATTCATTTTGAACCGTTTTTTGATTAAAAAACTATATTTATTCTGAAGTGTACTTTTGACACCTTATGTCTCAAAAACTAACTAGTAAAAATGTACTAGCTCGGCAACATTGAAGACAAATAGCGGTCTATGGCCTGTTGTGGCTCTTCAAATACGTAAAAATGATTGATTTGCAATGGTTACATGATTGGTTTGGTAAACGGCCAATGCTAACTAGATTTAATGCATTATAATGTTTCTTTCATTGGGTTTAGAGACATGCATAGGTTTGGCTCTTATTTTTCCTTCTGAAACGCGAAGCTATTAGATAAGAAGAGGGAATATAAATTGTATTTTGAAATGCACGCCCCTGAAAATATGTAACTCATTCATGAACTGTAATAGGTCTAAAAGTTAGCTCATTGTTATTTCCACAATAGATGTGAATTTCATCACAATCGGTTATAGCATTTCTGAGAAATCAATAAATAATCGATTCCTTAAAGAAACTTGAACACCCTATATCTCGAAAACTAAGCGTTTAAAAGTATATGTTCATAGGAAGTTTATTCATTATTTCAACGAGTACTATACGCTGTTAAATTTACAAGAGTCTCGAGATCATACCCGTGTGTTCACCGAACACGCCCGATCGTTCCCTAAGCGGTGGGGAAACGTAAACGGGCAGCAGTAACTACGTTATGAATATTAGCGCGTGCCTGAATTATTTTGTACTTCGAAACGGAACACTAGTAGTTGTGCCTTCTTGTTTTACATATATTATAGGTAGACATCAAATCAATAAACATAGTGCTCTCGCCATCGGTATTTGCTGAACTTCGCTATGGGAAAAATGTTGAATATCTATATTGGGATGAAGAATTATCTATACAGGGTGTATCTAAATAACACCGAAATAATTCAAGGGATGATTCCTTGTGATATAATATGATGAATAAAGGTCATAAGAACATGTGTCCTAAACTTGCTTCGTTTTCGAGGTACAGGGTTACGTCCTGATTTCGAATCCGAAGTGATTTTCAACCTATCTTGCCTCCTTATATCATTTTCCGGAAATGTTGGTGGGTTCATGACCAGAGCAGTTTTTTTCACTGAAGATTACCTCACTTTGGTCATAGTTGGTATATATATATATATAGATATATATATCTAGCGCTCCTTAAAATTGAACAGTTACGTTAGATATACGGGTTGATATTCCATTATAGAAGTGACATGCACACTGTTTATATTTTTAATATTAGAGTGTTTTTTTTTGTGATATATTTGTTTTGTTTATTTCAAATATATATATTTTTTTAGTAGGCATACTCTAGTACTTCTTTTATATAATTCTGAAATCTGATCCACCCTGTATTTATTTCAATTAAATGGCATTAGTAGATAGTAAATAGAATGTTAGGATAGGGACACATGTAAGCCATTTTGACAAATCAATATAGGTATTGTATAGTTTCGATACAAAAACAATCTCGATTTTTCACATTCTACGTATAGGTATACCTTGAGCTTGATCAACGAAATCATAGCTCAATTAGAAGAATCGAAAAATGTAATATAAAATATAAGGTGTTCCATTTTGAATAACAAAGCTGCTACTATACTATACTACTAAGTACTACATAACTACTAATAATAATTTCTAGTGAAGCAGATGAACATTATCGAAAATAATTTGAATAAAACGAGCGTCCTCGCCAACAAAACATAAGCATATAATATGTACATATAGTTTCATGATTTTCGATGAGTGGTTCGCTATTTACATGTAGGACTCGTCGTGACATAGCGAATTATTGCAAATCAAATCATCGCTTTCATTATCTAATAGGTCGCAGTAGATCATTTGATGCCTATCAAATGTTTCTTATTTATTCGAAAAAAAAAATGTTGAAATGTGATCAAGAAAACTGTTGGTGGCCCACCCTGTACTACAAAAACAAAGACAGCATGAGAGAAGCTGCCTGCCCAGTGCCCACTGTCTCGGTCTCCCCACCGCTTAGGTAACGATCGAGCGTGTTCGGCGAACACACGGGTATGATCTCGAGACTCTTGTGTTA